CCAGCCATTCTGGGCGGCCACCATCTGTTAATTGAGGCTCGTGAGGACACCTGGACGCACTCCCGCCGACGACGTCGAGAGGCTCTTCGCAGACAGGCTGCAGCTGCGAGCCAGGCTCCAGCAGCGGACTCTGAACCCATGGAGTGCCCCGCCTCCACCAGTCCTGCGTCGTCTGCAGCAGACTCCGGCCTCATCGGTGCTGGCTCACTAAAGAGGCCACATGAGACGACCACGACTCTACCGCTAGCCAATAAGGAGGAGCAGACATCAGCAAAGGCGGCAATGGAAGAGGTGAGTACGGAGTTTGCTGCCAAACGCGCCCGTCTCCAACGCCTCTGCGAAGAAGGCGAGGCCTGGATAGAGGAGCTGGAATCAGATGATCAGATCACCTTGAATGCTGATCACACGGACGTCCTAGCCCCAGCCGCCTCGGACCTGCCGCTTATCTTGCGCGCAAATGTCTATGTGGAGTCGGAGCTGCACGGATGCGGTGATGAGGAAGATGACGAAAAATTTTTGGCAACTGAGGCGCCTGATGGGGCAGAGGCTGAGAACGGTGTTGGCGACTCGGATAACGACAAGCTTATTGTAAAAATAGAGTGGCTTGATGGCAAGGATAGAGAGGCAGCCAACAGAGTCCTATTTTATCTTAAAAACAGACTGCGTTGAGTATCTATTTTTGTAATAAAAAGCCTTCTATCCCCCTCAACGACTGTTGTCTGTCCCCCAGCCGGCCATATATACGCCAGATGTGGACTTTGGCTGTAGTTCCCATGCCATATTTTTTTTATCAACTGTAGTTTACCGAAACCGACTTCTTTCCTTGAGTTCGGCTCAATCCCCAAGCCACCTAGTTTATACTTCCCTGAAATCGTAACCATTTGCTGTAGACTGATTTGGGCAGTCTTTGCACACAGAAAGCACAATATTTTCTGGAGAGCCATTAAGCAGTGCGTGTTGCCAGAGAGTTGGTGGCCCGTAATAAAACCTCTTATTCTGTAGAGGAAGGCGATTCAGGATTCTGGAAGTGCTCTAAAAGGTTTGGGGGTTTCGTCAAACCAAGCAGATAAAATTGCTTGAAAAGGCTTAAGAGAACGCAAGGTCCTTTCTCTGAGGTATTTCGGTTTAATACCCTTCGAGTACGGGTTTCAGTCCTATAACTACCGAATATCTGAATGGCCACTGCCGCCATTGTCTGGGCCCTAGTCGCCTCCCTTTTACACCGTGTTAAAACTCGGCTTTTCTGCGAAAGCTCCGGTCTGGGATTTCAAAGTAAAACTGGGTCGGCAAAGGTCGCAATGGTGTGACCGGGTATTCCCGATAATAGCCGACAGAGGGTGAGCTCAGAAATCGACTGAACACGATTTCCCCAGATCAGGTGTCTTTTCGTTTTTGGGTTTTGGGGTGCGACCGTCTGATAACGTCGGAAGAACCGCAAATAGCAATTCTCGTTCCGCCGTACCCTTGTCTGTGGAGCCCTCAGCGGGTTCGAGCTGACCGTGGATCCAACTTACGATCCAGGCCCGTAAAATTAATTACGCTCTCCCAATCTACTGTTCTAACGTTGCAGTAGCTTGCATTACTTCTCACCTACTAGCCCCGTGTTCTACCCCGCCTTAGCGAGGGAAAGCAGGGTCCAAGGGAAAATCGGATTGAAAATGCGGAAGTCATTTTTTACGGCCATTTAACTCGGCACCCTTTTACGTACGCACCTACAGATAGGCGCGCACGTACGCATGTTGTAATGGAACACTTTTGAAGCACGGGTGCGAGCTTTGTAGTCACAGTGTAAAACTGGGAACTAACCATCCTGAAAAAGGGATTGCTTTGAGCAAAGATCGTTTGCCCTTGGGTGGGCTCTCTTTGCTCACAGGCACTTTCACAGCAAGGTGGAGGTACGCTATACACGGCTGTTTGGTTTGTTCCTTTTTGCATAGAGTTATTTTTAGTACATGCTTGTCCACACAGGACCTGTGGTGATGCTGGGAAATGCGGGTGGTTCAGTAGATTTGAGTCGGGGTAGGCGTGTTATCCTGCGAAGACGCACCGTGCGAGGCGTGGGAGCTGGCGTCAGCCTTCCAAGTGGAGCTGCGTTTGCTGCGGAGGGCTGTTGTCGAGACCGCGGAGCCAGAGTGCTCTTTGATCTCTTTAACGTTTTTCGTTTACCGACGGGGGAAGCCGCCTCGAAGGCAGTGTTAGTGCGATCGCGCATTGTCCCTGGAGACTTCGCAGCAGGTTTCATTTGCTCATTTTTCGTGTAGACAGTTATCGAGACGTTCCGAGAAGGGGCCCGTTTAGGCACTTTTTGATGTGCACCCTGGAGACAGGGGAGGAAAGTAGGCCACTGTACTGAGATACCCAAAATTAAAAGGACTTCAACCGGTAGGGCACGGGAATAGATACCTCCCGTACTACAGGTGGCATTGAGCCAAAGTTGAGACAGTAGGATAGGAAACCTTTGGAATTTAACGCGAGGCCACCTGTAATGCTGGGGGGTAGGGGTGGAGCACTTATTCCCGTGTCCAGTCCGCAAATCTCAATGAATTGTCAGACCTAGGCGCCCTCTGATTTTTAACTTGGTTCCCCTACTGCTAGGTTGGAGGATGGGTGCGACAGAGGAATTCAAAGTCAATAGTAACTGCAAAACAGTTGTCTGGCAGTTTACTGCATTCAGCATACCTACTACTTAGGTTGTATCTCTATGATTACGCCTGGTCCAACCGGTCCTAATTGTGTTGCGACTAGGACATCGCCATGTCCGATGAGCATCAGCAACAGATCTGGGTGAAAACCGAAGGTCCAGGTATTACCTCCTTGTTTCTGTGAACTACATAAAACTGACTGTGTTTCTGCCTTCAGATGGGCAGCGGCGACGCTAGATACATGGGCGGGAGACGAAGAATGTGTCCGAACCTCTTTGGCCACTTCCCTTGATGCCGTAGCGGATGCGGGCTGTCTAAACCGAAGAAAAGGGAGTATTCAATCAAACAGCCGGCCCGTGTCCACAGTGTTTAACAGTGCTTTGACTCCTTCCACATGCGTAGCCGAGAATTCGAAACCATACACGCCTGGCCGGACGGTTGCCCAGCATACGCGAATGTTGCTGGCTATCTAGGCATCTGGATGACCTAATGAGTTGCTCAAGCTGTCAGCCTCATCACTCGCAGACGAATCGAGCGTGCTGGTTGCTAAATGTACTAGCGTCGTTCAATGCAGACAATACCTGCTACTCCGTTCCAACCACGAGAAGAGCGAGTTTGTTCACCATTCAGCCATCGTTCGTCGAGATGGAGTGCGAGGTGTACGTCTGGATGTCGTCAGTAGGCCACTGTACTAACCAGGGGCGTGCAATGGGACGTAGCCTCACCGAACAGTGTTCCGCCTCACCTAAAAGAATATGCCTAAACACTCCGAACTCAAGCCAGAATTCGATTGCTTCCTGGCCCAGTCGTTTACTGATTGTCCATCCTACTAGTGACGTTTGAGCTTGCCCAGCAAATAAGCTTCAAAAGTGCTGACTACTTGGTCCTCAAGCCTCGTCGACGTTCACTTAACAGTTTCGAAGTAGTTACTGAGGCCATTGAGAAAACTTGAAGCTGGACTTATTACATGGAGTCTCAATTTCTATGTAACTATTCGACTTAAATACTTCAACTTCGACGAGACCCGTGGCTGGATCGTTAACTAGTACTTGTGTTTGGGATGCAGGTTGTTAGAACTAGCAGAAGCATAGTTAGGGGTTTGGGAACTTTTTGTGCGAATTCTGACGAGCTACGGGCTTTCAGTGAATGACTAAACCAGACTTTTAGTGTATTATCCCACCATTGTCCGTGGTTCGTATTGTGGCTTCGTAACAAGTGGGATGTCTTAACTAAGTAGGGCTGCCATCGTCTAGTTGAAAAAATATGCTGAGAGGCTACTTTGTTCGTCCGGCCCAAACTGCTTTGAAGTATGTGATAAATTGTGTTTGTGGAGTGGGACTTTTAGTCATCCATCGATCGAGATTCCCCCAAATATCCGATCGTCCAACCCTCCCCCCATGGCATTTAAAACAAATTCATTCCCCATAGCCTGTTTTTAGTTTGCGGCATTTTAGAATTTATTGTTTTGTAAAACGGAATAAATATATGTAAAAAATGGCAATTTGAAAGTATTTTAAGGTGCTTGTATTGAGATCTTAAAGAAGTGTTAAAAGTAGGCTGTGCTTTTGGCAAAAATAAGAGTTGTTGAACACTAAAACTACTGTGCATTACCAGATTTCAAATACTAACCTCCAAGAAGACGCGAGTTTCTGGGAGTGCGAGCACGTTCTTTTTTGCAATCCTTCATAAGACAAATGGTTTACTTCAAGTAGACGCTTGAAAGTGATTGAGAAAACACTGGGTAATAAAGGGGAGTGGGTTTCGAGTGAGATGCGATTTGGCAGCCAGAAATATTCTCCAATGAAGGGCCGGATGTCGAAGGGGTATGCGACTACTTTCCACAGCTGTCAGTGCTACAATACCGCTTAAGTAAGGTTTTTCCTCTGGAAGCGCCTCTAAGGGCCTCAGTCAGTATTGGTTCCCTATTGTAATATCAATCGGGATGCAAAGTTGCCCATGTTATTACTCGGTGAAATACCTGTAGGGGCCAGATGTCTAGTCCACTTAGTCTGAGCAAACACGACCGACCACGTTGCCTCCTCTGGGACTTCCTTCCCTTGACTCCAAAATCGTGGAAATACAAAAGTACGGTTTGGGGCTAGACCTGAAAAAACTATATGAGATTTTTAGGTAAGATGTGCTTATGCAGCTCCGCCAGATGGACATAATACTGTTGGGGTTGGGGTTAGGGTTTAGGATTAGGGGTTATTGTTAGGGGTTAGGGTTAGGAGTTGGTACAACTATAAATCAACCATTCAACGTACAATCGTGCATTCCCAATAGCTGTTCTTGTGCATACAACTATTTGACTTCGTCGCCTGTGCGTTCCTCGGCCCCACCTGTAAAAACCCTTATTACCACCGGTCATGTATTGGGGGTGGCTGGGTTTGTTTGCTTCTGGTTGGGCTACATAATCACATCTGAACGATTTTTACTGTAATAAACCGAAAGGTTCGTAGTGTTGAGATTGTAAAACAGTAATGCATTATTTTTTTCATCAAAGTTAACAAACATTCCGGTTGAATTGGCATTCACTAGTGTTGGGCGAACCTAGACGCGGAATGTGAGCCGACCCTTAATTCGTATTAAACAACTGGTGGACTCAACGAACCCATTTTAGGCGGTTGTAATGCATCCCTGAAAGAACTTACCAAGCTTCATAGTTCATATTATGACTTTCTCCTCCTAAGACTATTCCGATCGAAAGCACAAGGTATGCATAGCCTATGCGCGCCTCCTCAAATTGTGTCCATGGATTCATATGTACTCGTAGATGCAAGCGCATTGGGGAACACAAAGGTAATGGGCAGTCGAGTCAGTTGAGTACTCGTCCAAACAAAATCTCCGTTCATCCATCACCAAACGCCTTGCCAGTGGACAACCTCCCGACCCAAGAAGTCCTCCTGAGTCCTTATTCGTGTACAAACAGCGTGGATACTGTGCTACTTGGGAGCAATCAACGTGTGGACCGAAAAACCTGCTATGGGCAAAATATACCGTTTGGTAAACCTGACCTTGAGTTTGGCACTACCCACTACTTTGATTTCCACACTCCTTTGTACGTTATCGGTTACTTTCTCCATTTTTCTATTGCTTTCCCAAGTGACCTCTTTTCGTCGAGCAGACTGTGTGTACTATACCATAACCCTGCTGTTTTCTTATTCGTTTCTGAGTAACTTTGTCCTGCTGTGTATTCACTACGCACGCTTTTTAAGCAGTAGTGAAATGTTCTCGTGCTGGTATTGTAATTGCAATGCCACTTAGGCGTCCAAGAAGGGCGCGTTGTCGCGTCCTTTAGCACTGGCCAAAAAGTGCAGTACGCAAAAATAGAGGCCAAATACCATGCTCGAAGGGTCAATCTCGCTCAGTGGTCTGCGCTGGCCGGCTGCAACGGAAGCCTCTCGGCCATGATGATGTGAACATGAAACATTGAGTCGATTGGATCAGTGCCAGTGGAAGCCCTACTCACCCAGAAAGAGCAATAAGAGCGAAATGTGTACAGGATAATGAGAGAAGCGATTGGCGCCGTAATCAGGGTCCGAAGCCCAGTCCAAATTGCATGCAAAGCGTGCTCAATAGACGAAGTTGCCAAATCATGCACTTTGACCTGCACAACCCATTTCTTCTATAATCGCCCAGGCCTATTTCAGCAAGGGGAAAATGGATTGAGTAGTGTTGATGCAAACAAAAAACCTCAGCTGATTGATGGTCTAGTATTGAGAGCCCACCAGAATCTGACCTATGAAAATGGTAAGTGGCAATTTTCTCAAAACAGATTACAGGAAATCGGGAAACATAAAACTCAGAAAAGCATTATCTCTAAATGAAACCGAACCGTGGACCTGATTCTAACGTTGTACGCTCTGACGTTTGGCTGCAACCGGCGCGTCCCACGACTGTGTGAAAGACCAATACTTCCGGCTCGTGAGGCGTGCTAGGTTGCAAAGCAAACCTAGGACTCAGAGGCTTGGCAATTACGCAAATTAAACACCTTGCAGTCTGTAATTCCATTCAATAGCAGTTGTTTTTTTTTCCTCGAAGACCACGAGAAACAAGTGATACTCGCACAGCCACCTGGCAACATTGGACCCCCGACCTCCCAATTTCGGCTTCGTCTGATCGTGAGGTTCCCGTATTTGTGACAGTCGGAATTGAAAAAATAATTGCTACTTGGCAGAAATAGGGAATATAGCACGTCGAATCCGCGAAAGCAGCTTGTGCTAGGGAAGGAAAAGATGACCTGCTTGGAAGATTGGTTGCAGCTAGTACGCGATGGCATTTTATTGAGGGTTACCCTATAGCAGGGTCTGGTAAGATTGATGGAAGGTAAAGTACTCCGCCCAAAAAGAGTGAACTATGCTTCTTTTTTAAACGTACCTTCGGCTGGCTGGGATCGGTTCTTCTGAGCATCCAGTTGATGTCCCTTCGTTCTAGTTCCGCAAGGCTTTTGTAGGCCACCTTACCACCTTCTAGGCTCTTTATGACCACACCGGCAACCGATGGACGAATAGTCGTCAAGTGTGAGTCAAGAGTGTTTTTCCTCGTGTTATTTGTGGACGAGTTAACCTTTCGGGGAGTTGGTTTCTCGAGACATCGTTTTGGCGGCTCCAAAGCAATCAATTTATTGGGGTTGGGGCTCCTCGCCGGAAGGCTTCCCCTGCGTGACAGAAAGACCGTCCTACTCTCATATGGGCTCGACTCGGAGATCTTGCCGTATAGTTTGTCATTCCTCGGCTTGGCTGTTTTTCCGCCCTCCCATTTGCTTGGGCGCTGAGGGAGGCTGTGAAGTAGATCAAGGTAAAAAGAAATCGGTTCTCAACTACACCTCAATTGATAGTTTTATATTCCCACTGGAAATTTCAATAAAACTCATAGCTGTAGTTTGGCCAGGTCTGGTCTGATAGTCGTGACCGCTGCCACCCTATATGCCTGGGTAGGTAATAAATCCGTGTCCGCATGAGCGCGTGTGTCTGTGCCTGTTTGTGCCCTCCCCAATCCCTGTCCATTAACCAGATTGTTGAAATGGACTACCGAGTCGTTTTAATCCGGATCGACAAGTCGGTTGCACTCATCAAGTCCATACATCCAGTTAGTTGTTAGCGTCCTGCGCAACAGTAGTAATTGCTTAACTGGTCGAGATGAAGACAAAAGCACAAACGCGACAACAGCGAAGGAGCCAAAAAGGACGAAATTGACCATTGACCATCGGCATCTCCCTGCACTAGATGTGAACCAAAAACCAGCCCCATTTGGCAATTTGTCGTCCTTTATTTGTATGCATTCGTGGTTAGAGGTCGTGCAGGACTCGTGCTGTGTCCTCGATATGCAATATTCACCCGCGCCGCCCAACTAAATATTCATGCTCAGCAATGGCTACTAAGCGATCGGCGAAATGGCAATGATTTCAGGAGCGATGTTGCGCTATACAAACGGTGGCGGATTTCGTGAAATGTTAGTCGAGATTTAGAACCGTGTTTTCGATTTGAAGGGATTATGGCAAGGACTGCCTATCTGGCCATCTAAACAGGGAATGAGGACAGGAACCGCCCGCAATAAAAGTGGCTCTGCGTTAAATCCCAGTGAAAGAAGGGTTAGGCTCAAGGTAGGGGTTACGTCAAGGATTGCGTTCAAGGTTAAGATTAAGGTTAGCCTTAGGGTTAGTGTTAACTGCAGACTTAGCGTTAAGATTAGGGCCACGGTTTAAGTTTATATTACGGTTAGTGTAAGGGTTTGGACACGGCAGTATTTACCTTTCCTGGAATTATGCGCAGGCCGCCATCATTAATAAGTTGGGCGTTCCTATTCCCGTGTAACCTCACCGGGATTGCTTTGGCGGCTTTTTAATACTGCTCATCGAGCAGCATAATCCCCAAATATTTCAGTCAAAGCTGCTTTCGAATGCAGTTTCCCCCGCCCGCCAGCAAAAATCGCACTCGGTAGAAACGACTATCCAAATTGTTTGTATTTTCCGAGTAGATTTTCAATGCCCTTATAGATTAAAATGTACTTTATAGAAAACATGCACTAAGAGTATTCTTCATTCTATTTATTTTGTAGTAAATTGCGTCAAATGCCGGCGGAATTGAGGTTCAGTTTAGGGTTAAGGCTAAGGTTATATCTGAGACAAGGCTGGAGTTAAGGTTGGGGTTCAAGACAGGGTTGGAGCTAAGGTTTGGGTTAGGGTTGGGACACGCGAAAATCTACCCTTCCTGGCGTTTAGCGCAAGACCGCCCGTATTACGTGGCCATATAAGAAATGCCGACCGAGATTTTATAAGATTAATAAATGTCCTCTAAAACAGCGCCGTATCGATCGGTTTATAAATGCTCCTTCTGAAGTATACAATGTGGTCCATGCGTGTTACACAATTTTGTGAACCCCGTGTGATACCTTAATAGCACTGGGAAATGGAGGGTTTTTCTTACATGGAAAGTGTAGAGCTTTTAGTTTGGAATTCCTAAAAGCATTTGCAGCGGCAAGTCGGATGCAAAATCATTCGGAGATTTGAAAAGCCCCCTTTTAAAGCCTAACGATACCCTTTATTTGCGTAGACAGTTTAAAGATGGTGTATTTTACTAGGAAAAAATGATTGCACATTGACAAAATTGCTTCTAAGTCATGGATGTTTCGTCAATCACTAGATAGTCATTGCTGAAGAGGAATATTGATGTGCGTAACTCAGGGCAAAACAAAATGCTGAAGACATGGCACTACACCCTGGACGACCTCCAACCAGAAGTGCATACGAATAAAGGACGGTAGCTTACCAAATGGGGTTATTTTTGGTCCACGATTGTCTAAAGCATTGGTTTTAGTGAGTAATAAGCACTGAATAAGAACAAACATCCTTGAACTGTGTATGACAAGCAGCCCTGACAAGTATTCAGAGTAAGTGATGGAGGAGGACTGATACGGCAAGAGCGAGTAAGCAAAGTGCAAAGTGTACGCACTAGCAAGGAAATAAAGCAGCCCATCTGAGGACCACCAACAAAAAGGGGTTAGTAAGTTTAGGTGCATTCTTCATCTTTGATGAGACCACCCACGAGCAAATAAAATGCGTCTCGATCAATTCATAACTCTCCGGACTAATTGCTGAGGCAGCTCTCGAAAACCCCCCAAAGACGGCTGTTCGAGCTGCACAAACCCAAGCTTTTGGGTCTGTTACTTTGAAACACCCATGCTGCCATGGAACATTATCAGGTTGAATACGGCAACGACCAACTAACCTCAGTCATTTTGGCGTGAAATATATGACGGAGGAAAGAAAAAGGTAACTTCCAATCTCAGACGTCCTCTCATTTTGGAAACCTAGCATAAAACCAGCAGCAAACTAGGAAAAGGGAACAAAACGCCGAAAATGCCAGATTATGCAGCAACTACCCCAGTATCAGGAAGAATCGGTATGTGTAGATCATACCATCGAGTGTTAACTTTTAAAGACATCAAACATCACGGTTACCTCTTCGAACTGACGGTTACCCCGGAGCACTCATTGTCGAATGCCTCGATTCAAGAAAAATAGGGAGCTCATATAGTGGCGGATCATCCTTTACGTGAGCGACTTCTCCACGACCTCGACCTTTATACTATGTGATATAAGAGTTGCACAGGTCTGAATCAATTCTTCAGTCGTTGGTGGTGCGGCCAAAAGACGCCAGTCTTTATCTAGTGAATTCCACAAGATTGTGGAGGGGACAGCTACGTCGGCGAAACCAGCCGACAGCAACAAACGCGGACCCGAAGTCGAAGGGGACGGCCTTAACCGAGCACACAGGGCGCACCTTCGACTTGGACGTCGACGAGGTTGCGCGCCGAGGCCTGGCTGTTAGCTGGCCGCCATTTCAACCTCTCTGAAACATACCTGGTTTTGAAAACCTGCTTGATAAGAGACAGTGAAGGCGTGAGACCGTCGTGGCCACCAACTATTACCACAGTTAACGACGATGAGAGCGACACTGATCACAGCAAAATGGAGACCCCTTCTGTACCCGCTGACATCATGGACGATCAACGCGTCAGTCACAATGCGTATGCAACCCACGCGCTATATAATGAGAGCTGTGCATTAGGCTCTCTAGTCTCTGCAAATGGGGGGCTGAATCCGTTATACGAAACGTGCAAACTCAATTACCCCCTCTCGGTGAATGGCACTCGCATTTTTGAGAAGTTTTCGACTTTAAAGACCGTCTCGTCAGCTGGAGGATGGTGTCAGAGTTCGACTTAAGAACCCACTATGTGAGTTAGTGACCGGGATGATAGCTGTATCTGTCTGACCGGCAAAGGCTGAGACTTAGGTTACACACCTGGTGCCTTATACCAGGTCAGCCATTGCGCTCAGTCGCTTTTACCTTGTCTGAATAATGAAACACGTGGGGAAAAAAGAGAATGGGGTAAATGTCACGCAATAGTCATCACTGCTCTGCGGGACAGTGGTGGCCCCGGCAGCTTGCGATTAACAAACATTCAGGCCGTCGGACATAGAAGCCTATTAAGCGGAGAAAGGAAAATTAATTGAGCTCGCCTGTTGAAGTCTCACATATTCGAGGGAAACGTCTCACCTAGAAAAAATTCTTTGGATGTAGATTTCCCGCGCGTGCATTACAGTTCCAAGCCTCCAGCTGGCTATAATAACTGGGTTGCATTTTCCTTTGTAAAGCCCTCGGCAATCCAAGTAATTTACATCCTACTTAAGCCAAATCGATGTGCTAAAAATCCCCAACGTTTATAAATTGCACTCACGGCCTGACCACTTTCGAAGCCTCGAAACCAAATTCCAGACTTGACAGCCGTTGGCCGAATGATGGTCTGGGGACACTAAAGTCATTGCGCAAAGATGCTCGCCTTTCACACTGGCCCTGTCTTATCCGTGGGGATGGCTCTGGGAGAACCGAAGCATGAGACTGACAAGACTGCTCGTTCTCCGACGTGGCTTTTCCGGTCTCACAAGAAAACTCGACCGTCTTATGGGACAGCTTCGGACGGTTTTCACTCTTATCTGGCGGATTCTGTGATGTTTCGCTGCTCGATAATTTCTTCCGCTTAGGTGGCATAATTTTGGAGGATGGCGCGGTGCACTGGGTCCTGAAGACCTTGTGCGAGGACTGAGATCGGTTTCGGACAGAGCCAGCAGTCAGTTCGTTTTCATCGTCTTGCGTAGTGTTAGCCGAAACTTCTGGATCGAATGAAGTCCATGGATTTGGTTGCTCTGCGCTACCTGGGGTTTTGCAAACAACCTCAGGAGTGATTCTTGAGGGGGCATCACTGCGTCCATGCAGTGAGGTCTCCGCAATCTCTCGAATTTGCGGTCGCCCTGTACTGACTGGGGTCACACAAACAAGTTCAGCAGCAGTCCTTGATGGAGCATTATTTCGTCCACGAGGGCGGGTTAGCGGGACCACTTCAAGTACTGCGCTTCGCCCCGTTGCAGGGAGACGGACATCTTGCCTCTGACTTTTCGCTTCTGACTCTTTGCGTGTAAAGGTGATGCCTTCATGGGCAGCCAGCTGTGTAGTGTGGCGTCTTACCCAGTTTCGCAGGAGCTTTGAGACAAATGGAAAAAGTCATTTTTTCAACAGATTTTACATCTTCGAGGAAGGATAGCAATACACAAGGAGCTACCTCTACTCGGATAGGATAAGCTTTCACTCTATGGTTTACGGTACCACCAAAAGTATTGATTAAACTGGTAGTAATCTATCGGTCAGCAAAATGAACACTTGGTGCTGAAGTTTTCTGTCGACAGGCCTAAAATACGAGTCAATGTGGTTGCGAGTTTGTCTACTAATAATTTTAAAGATTATCCACCAGTTTACCTACTGTGCTTGCGAGGTTTTAATACGAAGACGACGTCTGTGATTCCTGTATATTCTTCTCGTCTACTACGGTGAATTACTTGGTGCAAGAATGAACACTTAGTCTCTAATTTTGACAAGCCAAATTTAGTGTACGCCGTCGAACACGCTTTTGCTCCCAGTTGCTCCCTTCTCGTAAATTAATATCGATCGCAGTACTAGATGCATAGGTGATTCGCCCGGCTGTCGAGCAAAACGACGACGCCGATCACAATTTCCCAGGGAGAGGTTAAAAGGGGTAACATGCACACACAGTGGACTACAGCGAGGACGGTTTCGTAACACCAGCCTCACTCTCTTCATTCATCCAACGTGATCTAGTGAGTTTATTAGGTCAAGCCGACCAGCAAAACAGGCCGCGTAAAACCCCATTTTACACATCCGAAGACAGTACAGGTTCCTATCACCTAGACGAACACAAGTTCATAGGCTTAAGGGACAGAGGGATGTCGGCCACCATCCTTCGGTTTGTCTGCCAGTCTAAGACTTCAAAGAAGCACAGCCGCTATGAACTGCGCAGCGCTGTGGAGCCAAAAGTAAGAGGATGCCCCGGCAACGACGCCATATGAGACCCTTGCTCAATCACCCGAGGTACGTCTCAGTGTCTTACGGGACCGGTGGAAAGAGGACTTATACGGGTAGGGCAAATGGATTAGGAGGGCAGGTTGAAAGGGCCTTGTTTATGGAGAATGTTATAAAAAAAACTGGAATAAACTAACGTAAGTCTAATTACGAACTTGAAGGCGAACCGTAAAACTAAAAGGGGGTGATATTTAACGCCGAGGCACCAAAATGAACTAAATGTAACACCCGTACAATAATGACGCCAAGATCAGCGGTCAGGGCACTGAAGTAGCCAATAAAAGCCCAAGGTCGTATGGCAAACAAACCCCATAAGAGCAAAGCGCCAACGTTGGCCCAATCGCACGACGAAATGCTTCAGTACTGCGGAGAACATGTAGGTGGACCAGGTGTCCAGCCAAGGTAATCTAACCAAATAAGCTGCTCAACCTCCGCCTAATGGCCAAATGGTTAATATTTAAGTGAAACAACATAAGAGAGTACCAATGATTTAAATTTATTTGATTTGTTGTTATAGCCATGCCATTATGCGATGTTAGTGTAAGAAAGTTATGTTTTTATGTTACATAAATCCTATGCGGAGGCCTGCAAATTCTAAAAAAAATGCGTAAAAATGGACAGCAATAATATAGCAATTGAAATGACTAACGTGTTACCGTATTGTCAGTATAAAGGGGCTTCTATCAACACTGCGAGCCTGCGTCTGCCGCAAACCGTTGAGGTTGCATAAAAGAAATATGAGCGCCGACGGTTTTTTAGTGCACCAGAAATCACAGAATAAAGACAACTAAAACCGGTTCGGTCTTATAAGGCAGTTGTCTCACCATCACAGCGGAATGCTGTTCTTGAGCAGGCCAGAAACCGTAACTGGCCGTCCCTCAGAACCGTGATAAAGAAATGGGTCGACCCCGGCAGCATAATAATTACGGATGAAATGGAAGACATACGGTGCCCCACCTACAGGAGGGTGCAAGAACTTCACCGTCAACCACTCCAGGAATTTTGTGGATCCTGAAACAGGCCGCTTCACGAATGCCATCGAGGTGTATTGGAGCCGACTTAAAAAGAAACTGCGGGAAAGCGGGTCGGTCTCCAGAAGGTCTCTGGGGGGCTCATTTGGACGAAGCCCAATGCAAAAAAAATCCGTTCGTCTCGACCGAAGTGCTCTGGATGTGACCTGAGAAAGGTCCCTTAAACGGATTGTTAGTGTTTTATAACCTGCGTTATTATTGTTTGTCCCTGCACACAGTGAAAGTGGCAGCGATGGTTGTGGCTGGAAAAAACAAGCCACTGAGAGCGATGTGGTCAAGGAAGCCGAAATTGGTACCAGATAGTAACGACGGTCAACGTCAGGATGCTAACTAGGGTCGGTGAAAGAAAATCTCTAGTACTTGGCGTTCACGAACGATTTCAGTGTGGGGGATACAATGATTCAACGGATGGCATCGATGTCTAAGTCGCTAAAGGCAGAGCTTTTAAGCGTTCTGGAATTGATGGCAATCTTTCGAAAGGTAAACTGAATCTAACCGAGTTGTGGGGGGGGAAGGAATCCCCTAGTTCAACCCTTAACCTTAAGCAGATTGGTGATATTTTTTGCGTTGTGTAAATACCGATTTCCGTACGCGTGGGTTACGTTGCAACGATGGTAGAGGCATGAACAAATGGCCGGTGAGTGCGACATCGTCAAGGAAACCGTAGCCGGTTACGGATGCGATGAAGGAACCTAAAACTGACTGGCGTAAGCGTTGTCGTATGCGTCCAATATAAATAAGTAACTAATGTGGTACACGCGGTACAATAGGCCGCCTTGGGGGGCTCTCGCGGTATGTAACGCAGGCCTATGCCGGTGGACACCATAGCAGACCTACTTATTGGAGTATAGTAAGGAAAGCGGTTTATAGCCACAAACGGAAGATGAAACAAAAGGGAACGCTGATAATACGCACCTGCTGACGGTTAGGCAGCACAGTTGATCCGGAGGCGAGTTTGGATGACGACTAATCGAAGTATGAACCAAAGCCGGCGGACGTAGGGGGAAGAAAATCCCTAGTACATGCCAGTTACGAAAGATTTCCGTGTGTAGATGCAGCGACAGGACGGATGACATCGTTGTCTTAACTGGTAACTCAACCCTGACGAGTCTGAGGCGAGTATGGATGACAACTCATGCAAAGGCTAAACGAAGCCAGCGGTGTGGGGAAGATATAACCGTAGCACTCGTCGTTTAAGAAAGATTTCCGTGTAGGGGTGCAGTGGCTAAACAGATGGCATCGCTCTCGAACGTGATAAAGTAACACTACTGCTGTGGACTTCAGCAGGCATTAGTATGTAATATGAAATCATGGGTCTCATATGACGTCCTTACCGATGCCCCACACCCCAAGCAGTGCCAAAAAGCACAACAACCCACCTGTGGAGACGCATATCCCCAATCGCTCTGCCACCTGTTACCTCAAAGACGGTACGGTGGGAAGGGAGGTATGAGAGAGTACGAGCTATTATGGCGAGACGCGAGAGAGTTGCTGAACCTTTTGTTTCAGTGGGGCGTATCCGACAGAGTTCCGAAACACATCTGTACCCACCTTGTAATTGACGCTCTCAGCCATCCGGATCTTTTGGCCCGACAGGGCATACTTGTTGGCACTGTTTAGCGGTGATGTCAACGTCCGCAGTGTCTTGTGTGTTCCAGGCTTCAGTTTCAACATGTCTGCGCAGGGGCAATTGGCGAGACGGGACCAGGGGTTGGTGCACCACATGTCTAAGGCAGCTATCAGAAGACCGCGACCCATCTCCTCGTAGTGCGGTATAGCAAATCGAGTTGACATGTTTAATACATATGCCCCGTATTCCATAAACATGACGGGGTGGGTTGCGTGCTGGAAATTGAGGTAACAATTCATGGCATCGTTGGCGTTGTGCTTTAGGTCCCTGCGCATTGGTCCGAAGAGGAAACCAGGAGGAGTAGTGCACCGGTTGTCGCCGGCCGCAGGCGGCAGGATGTTTATCAGTCTACCTGTGTGATTGAAAAAAAAGTATAAGAAAATGCATTTACAAGACTACACTATGAGTATACGCCTTCTCGTAGCCTAAAATCCGACGTTGTTGGTCATACCCTGTGATATCTTGATACGGAAGGAGATCATCCAATTACGGGATGTTGGACGATGGTTATACTTTGTTGTGAAAGAGGACTCTTCGAAAATCGGAACTCACTCCCGAAGCTTCGAAGTGCTTAAAAAAACACATTGTCAAACGAACCGACTGGGAGGGTCGTTCGCGCTGATGGGTGAGGAGTAGGGAAGCTGAGATGAATGAGTGGGTTGAGAGGTGAGAGCTGAAGAGTGCGGGCTAAACAGGGCAGTAAGTTCGGCAGAGAGATGGGTAGGGAGACCGCAACCGACGCCCCCCTCCACTGCGAACGCGAAGGCTAGGATCGATAGTCTGTAGGACTTGAGTGACAGAGCGCGTGGCCCTAGCAGACAGCATGTTAACAAGACTCAGTAATTCGGAGGCGGAGGTACCGACGATATGCATTAGTAGTTCCGCCTGGTGCTTAAGGGGGGGGGGGGTAGAGAGGGCGATTAACACTGTGATACAGGAGCCGCAAGAATCGAGAAACTCTCGCAAGCGCTTGGTTGGGTTTCTGCTGACAACTTCAATAACATCTAACTTAAAGTAGTTATTCCTTACAGACGGTTATCTACTTCATTTTGACCCAAATGTGAAAACCTCGGCGTCTCGGCGGGATTCGAACCTAGGACATCAAGCGGGAGGCTTTAGTCCAGCCAACGCCCTTGCCACCTGCTTGGGAAGTCAGCTTACTGGATCAGATTTGGTGGATTCCAGACATTGCAGTAAGTTGGGCGGCTAACTTGACCCAAATGTGATTAAACCCACGTCTTTCGGTGGGGCTTCGCAGCTAAGTAGCTAGAGCGTTGGCTGTATTAAAGCCCCCCGCTTGTTGTCGTGGGTTCGAATCCACGGAGGTGTCGAGCTCTTCACAGATGGGTCAATACGAATTATTTAAAATCTGCCAAAACATTCATCGATTAACTACTTGTCGTAATTTGAGCGTGTGTAACGTGTGAAACGGGACAAACCATGACCTCTACCTGATTCAGGTCGGTAAAACTTGAGTAACTTTCTCCGACTGCAGTTAGAAGGGAGAGCCTGTAGCTCAAAGGGCAAAGTGACTAGAGGGCTTAGTGACGAACTGACTCGGAGTCAAATATCAGGGCCGTACAGCGTGCTGTTGGCGCGTAGGTAACTGGCTCATGACATCGAGTAATTCAGAGGCTGTCAGTACGGTCCCCCCGTTTTTATTGTTGCCTTCGGCATTGTCAATAGTTACTTTTCGAACTTCTGCGGTTAAGGTTAGTGTTAAGGGTTATGTTTAGGAGTTAGGGTTTAGGATTAGGGGTTATCGTTAAGGGCTAGGGTTAGGGTAAAGGGTTAGCGCAACAATTTCTTAACCATTCAAATTACAACCGCACACCGCTAGTGGCTCTGCGTTTGCATACAACTACTTGACCTCGTCGCATGTGCGTTCCGCGACTCCACCTGTAAAATCCCTATTACCACTGGTAGCGTATTAGAGGTGACTGGGTTTGTCTATTTCGGGTGGGGCTACACAACCACATCGGACCAGCAAATAAAACACAGGGACTCCTGGAATACGAGAAGGATGCTAGTATTACTTCCGTCAGTAGGAGAGCAATAAACAGAATATACGGAAGACATTGATAGGACTCACACTTCAGCCATATTTATGTTTTACTACTTCAAGTGGGTGCCTGAGCGGACTGCGCAACTTGAAAGAAGCGAACTAGGATGTGCAAACGGGCGGAAAACTGATGATCCAAAGTCATTGGTTAAAGGTCGGATTGGGTAAGACAGTATGCAGCAGACAAACTTAACTCTAACGCTAATCTTTGACCTAGCCCTTACCCTTAACCTAACTCGTGCCCTTCCGGTTGCATCTCACAGCTGAGTGGTAGAGAATTGAATCTCAAAAGTGTGCAGCCCAGATGCTAAGTCCATCAGTCAAACAAAAGGAACTAGTCAAGAAGAAGCGAGCGAATGGCGGAAAGGAAAATACGGTGCATGCAATAGCATAGGATCAGCATTTTTTGTATCGAGAAAACTTCGACCTCAAAATCATGGAGATGGTACACACGCCAATGTGAAAGGCTGTCCCTAGCTGACTGGCTGGTACGTGTATGACAGTAGTCGCCCGGACCGATCACTGTCCCCAAGGTGGCGGGGTGGCTTCTAGAGGGGGAGGGAGTTGGTAAAATCATGATAACCATGCTGCGGTAACACGCCCCTCCAATGAGTGTGCCAATAGCTGGAAAGGTTTCCCCAACGCTGTATTGGGCTGGTGTAGCATACAGGTTGAGACCTAGAGCATGCACACACGTTCTAGAATTAAGTTTCATATGGTCATTACCGCAGAAAACTCATTGAACCTCTCAAGTCACAGTTGGCGGACAAGTGTCCAAAATGGCCATACGGCTTTGCTGATGTTCAAGTATGAAACACAGGTGGCTGCAGACACAAGCCCAATTACCTGAATTATAGTTGGCCTCAATAGTGTAGCAGTGGGTGAGGCCCATGTGCTTGGCAACTGCCACTCTTCCACTGCCCTCTTTGCTCTGTGCGGTGGAGCGGTCCTTCTGATACATGTTTCGAGCCGAGAAATTGCAGCCCCCAAAGTCAAAGAAGGCGGAGTTGAGGGTAAGTAGGCGCGCGTACATTATATTGTCCATCTTTTGTATCAAAAGACGATATATTGGTATTAAAGAATTTTTAAGGGTGTATAAAGTGTCAGCTAAGTAGAAAAACCGTTTTTGTGGGTGCGAAAAAAGATGCAACTCTAGGTTGACTCGCCAGAGAGCTTGAAAGATTTCAGATAGGAGAAAAGTCTAATTTAAACCCTCATTATGTGGTACCTAAGTTAACTAACCAGGCTAGTTGCATTGTCCCGCAAAACGAATAAGTTACTCATGTCACATCAGTGCATGCCAATCATCGAAAAATGTTGGACGATAACGCGAGACTTTCGGAGAATTTTGGTGTGAGATAAGTACGAACCTCAAAATCTATTTGCGACAAAGCCTTTTCCCTCCATCTTTATACGAAGGGGTGTTTCAATCATCGATGAATTTTGATCTGTGTAGTTGAAAAAACGGACGAGCTGTGTAACTCAGTACTAGTAAATTGAAATGACTGTTCTCATTCCTGCTTTCCAGATTTATGACAGTCAGCTTTTATGGCAAATTATGAAAATAGCAGATTTCTGCCTCTCTGAGGAAATTCTAAGGCGGTTATGGGGGTTTTAGCGTTTATGGCCATCATTTACTCGGGTTGATGGAGTTATGACAAAGTTACTGCATCTCCATAAAGGTTAGACATAGTATCAACAAAGCCTGGACGAAAAACAAGTCGTACCATACTCTTTTCAGACTTCAAGAAGTTTCCATAGCAGAAGCATCCGCGTTTTGTGCAGTGACCGTGCAGATCAATGTAGCACTGTACATTGCTTTCATCGGAGGGGATCTGCAGAAGTTTCGGATCAGCCAGATGGTCACCTTTGCAATAATTAAGGAATTCAAGGCGAATAGCGTCGTCCTCACCGAGGTTCGTTTCAAAAACAGACAAGAACTCTTGGTCGGCCTTTTCACGAACAGAGACTCCTAAAATATGTGAATTACTTGTTGCATATAACTGTCTCCTCCTAACTGCTATTAGACACTCAGGAGCATGCGTATAAATTCACCTCTTTTTATGCTATCCGTTCTAATAACAGGGTACACTGGATATATTAGGACAAAGGACAGTGTTCTGACCACCGGCTCGCTGGCGTATAGCCACCAGAAGCATCCCATTGCCACCTCCCACGCAAGTGAGAAGTGTGCGTCTCGACTTCGTCTCCATACTGCTTTGCTGCATGTGTGATTCGAGTCTGAGGCTATCATGGCGCGTCCAGCACCGTGGCTCGGAAGGCCGCTGACTGTCGCCCCAACTCAGTTCACACAGTCTGCCCACTTGCCTGTGTGTATGTGTGGAGTGGCGGAAGGATGGGCCAAGAAACAGGCCGAAACGACTCATTCTTAGTCTGACCTACGGCGCTCTTACGCATGTGAGCTATACGCTGCTCAACCATCGTTGTGTGAAATCCTGGTACTTTGTTTGGGGGACCGGGTCGTGCATGTGGCGCGCACAAACAAGTTCACCAGGTAAGTCAGCCACCCCACCCATTCCCCGCACCTCCTAACTGACCGGTTCGGACAGTGGCTGGGGCCCGCGGATGGGAAGAAAGGGCAACGTCGACGACTCAGCGCATATTCCTTACTATAAACAGTCTGACGCCCTTGAAACTATCACGGTGCACTAAAAGCCGTGACTGGGAATGTTTCCAACTGACGGGATAACCTGGACCTCGCAGTCGGCCCAGTGTTGTGTTTGTGTGGGGCGGCCGACTGGTGGTCTAAGAGACAAGCTGCGATGGCTCCTTCTTAATGTGTCCTTTGTGGCACTGCCACTCCGTGGGGTCCGAGCCAGGTTTGACGGTACGCTTAGGTGCGCCTCTGGCCGTGCCAGTCACCCTTTTGTTATTAGTCAAAAACCTGGCCATTTGCTGTGTGGACCAGGGGGTGTGGAGTGGAGCGTTAAGGTGCGAGTTCGACCACGCCATCCACCTGCTCTCTCCCCCGCCTCAGGTCTTCTTGACTCTGTCATGACACCGGGTCCAGGCGGAGGAGGAGAGAATGCGGTAGGTACTGTGCAAGTCTACATTCACTATAAACTCAATCACGCGCAAGTCCCCGTGTCTTCGTCATCTTGCTGTGGAGCACACGGTGGACATCGACGACAACGACGGTCGAACTGTCTTGTGTGGGGTGTATGGGGTGTCCAGTTTTGGGTCCACGTGACTGCCGTAGTAGGTTGCTCATTTGCTTGCAGGTGTGGACTACGCCTAGAGTCCATTACCTGGCACTGCTCACTCCCGCGAGGGGAAAGAGCTAGAAAGGTGCCCTAAACAAATGCTGGGGACCCATGCCGTTTGCAGGCTAACCGTGGCCTCAGACTCAAAACACGCGGTCGAAACAACCAAACAAGAAACAGCGCTCTCCCTTCCTCATCCCTCTTTCCGCCGCCCCACACACAGGCTGGTAGGGTGGGTCCGCGCACTCTGGCAGCCTAGAATGTTTGTTCCGATTTAGATAATCCCAGTCACTCGCGAACTGGCGCACCACAAGGTGGGAATCGTTGCACTCAGTCAGACCCGGTTCTCCGAACAAGGCCAACTGGAGGTGGGTGCCGGCTACACCTCCTTCTGTAGCGGTCACCCCAGGGCATAGCGACGGGATGTGGGTGTCGTATTTTCCATCCGGAACGACATCGCGGGAGGACTGTCCTGTCTGCCGCAGGTCACCAACGATCGCCACCATCGTCAGCGTCGATGCTTCTCCGAAGACCAACCCTGACGCGGCACGGAACAAATTCTACAAGGATCTGCATGCCCTCCTGGCGACTGTGCCGAAGGCGGATAACTTGATTGTCCTTGGTGTCTTCAACGCCCGCGTCCGCACAGACCATGCTGCCTGAAGAGGAGTGTTGAGTCCCCATGATCTCAACGGCTCCAATGACCTGCGCAGAACACTGCCCCATCCTGAGCAACACAATCTTCCGCCTTCCAACGCGAGAGAAAACCACCTGGATGCACCTTTGCCGGCGACACTGGCATCTGCTTGACTATATCCGCGTCCGAAGCGAAACCAGAGGGAAGTGCTGGTGCCAAAGGTGATCCCAGGTGCTGACGGGTGGACCGATCATCGTCTCGTCATCTCCAAGATGTGGACTCGCCTAAAGTCTCACAGATAACCTCAAGGTAAGCAACACCTAGGTAAGTTGAATATTGCTTTGTTGGCTTTGCCTGCTCACAATTTCTATTTCAGTAATGAACTGGCTCAACGGCTAGCCAGCCTTCCAGTCGCCACCGCCGCTGACGAGAATGTCTCCGTAGAGAACCGATGGTGCTAAATGCGGGACACAGTCCAGTCGATGGCCCTGGCTGTTCTCCGTCAAGCACGGCGCCATCACCAGAACAGGTTCGGTAACAATGACGCCGCCATCAGCAACCTGCTCGCCGAGAAGAACCGCCCCACCGACAGCTACGCACTCAACACTACGACGGACGAAGTGATGCAACGGAGCATGGACCTCTTCGCCGCCACCTGTGACAACTCCGGCCTGGTCATCAATACGGAGAAAACGGTGATCATGAATCAACTGCCACCTGACTCTGCCTACGTCACACCCAAAACCAACGTGAACGGCACCCAACTGAAAAATGTGAACAACTTCAATTACCTAGGCAGAACAATGTCACACTGCATCAGAATGGACGACAAAATGGCCCATCAAATATTCAACACCAGCCAAGCCCTCGGCCGTTTGTGAAACAGCGTCTGGAATTGACACGGTCTCCACCTTGGCACCAAACTGAAGATGGACAAAGCGATCATCCTGCCGAAGCTGCTGAATGATGCGGAGACCTGAACGATGTACAAGAAGCAGGCGCGAAGGCTCAATCGTTCCCACTTCAGCTGTCTTTGGCGGATACTGAAACTGAGGTGGCAGGACCGGATCCCGGACATAGACGCACTGGAATGGACAGAAATCCTTAACATCTACACCATGCTGAGACAGCTATAACTGCATTGGTGCGGCCGCTTCGTGCGGATGGACGACGAGCGTTTACCCAAGTGGCTGCTCTACGGAGATGTCACCACGAGTTCCAACCGGCAAGGAGGTCAAATCCGGCACTATAAGGACACATCAAAGACTTCCCTGAAGCGTCTGCAGACCGACCCCGTCAACTGGGAAGAGTCAGTCCGGGACTAGCCTGCCTGGAGGAGAACAGTGAAAACAGGCTCAGTTTTGAAGCCAATCGCACGCCGACGCTAAAGCCAAACGTGATGCCCGCAAATCACAACTACCCCCGCCTCGAAATGCCAACGCTCAACCGTCTCCGACTTACCCACGATGGCAGCGGATGTTCCGGACATCAGTCGGACTTATTGGAGATCTTCGCACCAATTTGCTATCAACTCGACAACGTCTACTACTTTTCCACTCGCCCCTCCCATAAACTCCCGCCGACCGCCATCCCCTTCACCGCCGTTTACACTCTCGCCGACCCGCCGCCATCACACATCGACACCACTTGCCCTGCCCAACCGCTGCATCGACCGCAGCGACCAGGACCAGCACCACCCTTACAAACATAACGGCCTCACGGGCTCCCCCCACCGAAGGGACGACGTCCGACGTCCCGTCAGTTTCGAACATCACTAAAATTCCCACTTCCATCGACGAGGACTGGGGTCATACTTGTCCTGGTCGGCCACTTGCGAGTCCGTCGCACAGAGACTGGCGAACCAGTACCTGGAGCACCAACCACACTCGTCGCATCCGTCTTCACTGCACTCACTGCCTCCACAGTCCTATCTACCGCATACGCCTATTCGGTCAAATGCGTTTTCACGACGGCGGAGTTCCCCGCAATCTAGACACACCTATCATCCACGAAAGACTGCCGTAGACAACTGCCGGCTACACCATATCATCGCATCTTCCCCCACCAACAACCCCACCACACAACACCGTCACTCATCCAGAGCATTCAACTGCCACCTCCCACGCAAGTGGAAAGTGTGCTTCTCGGCCCCGTCTCCATGAGTCTCCTCTGCTGAATGTGTTATCCGAGTCTAAGATTACCACGGTGCGCCAAGCGTCGTGACTTGGGAGAATGCCGACTGACGCCCCAACTTAGCCCACGCAGTCTCCCCAGTTGTGTGTGTTTGTGTGGAGTGGCGGACTGGTGGGCTGAGAGCCAGGGTGTCACGGCCCCTTTCAACCGTGACCTATGGCACTCACGCATGTGAGGAGTGCGTGTGCTTTATGGGTAAAGCCCCTCAGTCAACGACTGTTTAGCTCCCAATCCCTGAAGGGCGACAGCCCACGCAAATGCATGGTCACGTGCCGCCGTTGTGGGGCATAAAGGTCTGCATGCGTCTGCTATGCCAGGACCAGCAAACCATGGCTCTCGCAGCCTGGTATGCGCTGGCAGGTCTCTGAAACCTGATTCCCTGCCGGTAGATGCGCTTGTGCTCTCGCTGGGTATACAGGTCGCGTGCATGGTCGCCCAGTGTTTTTTGTCATCCTTCTCCTTCTGACCCAGTTTGGTTGTTGGTTAAAATCCTGGTCAAGTGTTTGTTGTAAACCAGGGGATGCGGTGGTACGCCGAGGTGCGGATCCGGCCGTGTCAGCCACAAGCGTCCTCCCGCGCCTCCAGTCTTCTTGGCTCTGACTTAGGTGGCTCTGACTGGGTGGGGGAGGATTGTGCGCTGCATTCGGTACGAGTCTTCGATCACTTTAAAATAAGTCACGCGTAAGTCACCATCCCTGCTCTCGTCCAGCTGTGGAGTGCACAGTGAACATCGTCGGTTACGGCGGTCGTGCTGTCGAATTTCGGATGGGTGGTCTACTTGAAAGTTAGCGGGTGGGTAGGGTGATGGTGGGTTTGGGTAAGAATTCGAGGCGCCGAATCAGTAAACTTCTTATTTCGGCGACCGCATACTCATCCCCTGAAATTCAATCTGCCCTATCCTCTATTCCAAAGGTTTCCAAAAAAGCATACTGCATGTTATCTTTACAGAAATTCATACAGTAGATTAGTCCCTCTAGAGAGGATCCACTTTGCTCATAGACCATAGCAATAAACATGGATCACACTGCACATTCTTGAGATCATGATTATTAAAGATGACCGCAGTAGGCGTCCCACGATCTCTAATAATCGCGAACTTTGTAACACTGAAACGCATCCGTCCTTCAGATAAAAACCCTCAAGAACATCAATTTCCCATAAAATTTATACTATAGACAAATTTTCGTGACCTTATCTATGAATTAAAATTGGACTGCGGTAGGCGTCTGTAATCAATGCTAAAATACGCACCCCATAAGCAGGGAATTTTAGCTTGGCTTATCCAAATGGCCGGAGCTCTGTTAGTTGAATGGTGGCATAACGATGTATAGGAATTAACTCCAGAATTGGATCCCCGCTAATCGATTAAACAACCTCACTTATGTGCACCTTTATATTCGAAAATATATTAAAGAAGGGAGATAAACGCTGCCTGCGTTTTGACGCCTTTCGTTTATGCCCTTAAAATAGGTAAACATTCACCGCACCCTTTAACCAGGAAAGGGGCATTATCGACCGAAAGGTGTAGCGTTATCCGTCCTCCATAAGCGGGAGATAAGCTAAAAGGATAGACCGGAAATTTACCCAGACTTTCCAGACTTTGGGACAGTTTCGACTGACGTCGCTTTTGGTGCGCAATCAGCATCTTCAGCTCAGGAGATGCGTTTTCAGACTCCCTCCCAGATGAGAGTGTGGAGTTTCGTGCGAAACCGAAACTGTCTTCCTCCTTGAGGGCGCAGTTATTACGATTGGCTGGGGAGTTCGAGGGTCGTCGATCTGAACTGTTAAAAAGAGCACATTCAGTCATCTGACAGGAAAGGCAATTTAGGCTGCCAGTGAAACTGACGAATTACACGTGGCTTGTGCGTGCTTTATTCAAAAGCTGGTAAGAAAGATGAGTAGTTAGGACGCGCTAATGCAGTGACCAATTGTTGGGCATGCATTTAACACCTGTAACCATTCACTGCTGAGTTTCTAAATCACTCCTCTGAGACGCGTAGTGCTACTCCCACTCACCAGTTTAACCAGACAAACAAAAAGGTCAGTATCACGTAGTGTTAAAACGGGAACTATCTTCCGTTATACTGTGTCATCTAAAGATATAAATTCCGTTTTGTGGCAACAGTGCACAGAGACTGAGCCTATAAGCGTGTAGAAATGTGAAGGCTAAGTAACAAAATTGGTCGCAATACACTACACACCTTCTTCTAGTGAGAACTCGAGGTGTGACATCTGGCAGTTGTATAACACTTCCAGCACTGTCCCCTTTAACAGCACTGCTATCCACGTGTTGGAAGGTTGGTCCTGGTGTTCGTCGTGGTACAATCCCATAGGACGGATGCTCAACTGTCCTCGTCTTGGAAGACGATTTTGAGGTCTCCGATGTCAGAAGACGCACCTCCTCTTCCTCCGGGGTCCTACGCATGGAACTGAGGGACACCTCTACGGAGTGACAGTGTGGAATAGTTGTGGATGAGGAGATGTTCGTGGGCAGTCGTGGGGCAAGTTCACTTTGTCGTGAGCAAGAGTTATTTGGCGACTGGGTTTCGTCAAGAAAGACGGATACCCAGTCCTGCTCGCTGAAGTACTGCTTCATAATCTTGCCCTTGAGCGAAGCGGTGGGAGTATGAGAATATTCAACGGGGTGGCGGATGACTGGTGACTCCAAGTAGCGCGCCTCACTCGTCTGTATCCGAGGACCGTTAATACAACTGTCGCGGTTCTAAAGGTAGTCAATCAGAATACATAAGTTTATATAGGGCTGCGGCAACGCCGTGGTGTTAAAAATAACTAGATATCTTGCGCTTTTTTCCAAATTTTCATCAGTGACTTGGCAAATTTAAGAGAACACCCGGTAAGGCCTCCCTCATACGCAGACTGAACTAAAAGAGCCGACAGACGACACAAGACACGCATTATTAAGGTCAGGCCTCACAAGATCTGAGTAGACTTTCGGGTCGGACACTGGAATGTGTACACCCCTATACTACAGGCGGCCTCGCAGTAAATTTCAGAGGGTGCATATTACCGTATCCTGACCACAACTCTAATCTTCCCAGCTCTAAGCCGAACCTGTCTAGAATTTGGGACAAAGCCAGTTGTAACACTAGGGGGTCTTTAATCCCGTGCTCAACCGACTTTCGGTAGTAGATGTTTCTGGTAGCCCCCGAAGAGAATTCAGCCTTATTTCACCTTTACGTCCATCTTTCAATATGCCTTACTGTAATATCCTGTGGACACATTTGAAGAGAACTACAACGAGCCGTATACCCAATAATGAGCAACGAGAGAGGAACACACTAGCACGTGTTAACAGATGACGAAGTCAGGGTTGGACTAAAACTACCAGCCAATCACAATAAATTCCTTGGGTATCCGAATAGGAAATATGTAGTTGTCATGGGTGCCGAAGGACTTTGCTAAAGGATGAACCATTGCATCGCCTTTGTTCCCTGAGACAACACTGGCCATCTTGTGGGCTAACGCTCTCAGTATGTAGACGTATGGTGAGAAACAGAAGAGATCGCTGGGACAGCCCTCCTCACTCTCCGAGTTTTTGGACAATTGAATTTGCAGTCTGTTGTTAGGGGCTGGTAAACAGCAAAAGGATGTGATGATTGATTAGACAACTATTCTACTTGTCGTGTAATCTCCTCAGGTGTGGTGGGCCATGCCGACTATTGGCCACTGGGATCACGTACGATGCACGGCAATTGCTGCACTACGATAATGCGGTGGTAGGCTTGGCCGTTAATCGCATCCACATTCAACAGGTGCATTAGTGTAGTGGACGTTTATTATCCCGATTACGTATTCAGTTGACTATGTATTAACCTATTTCCTTGTCACAATGAAAGTGCATGTAGGTAAATTGAGGCAGCCTCAGTGAGGAGAGCGCATAACAAGTGAGATGTCCAACCCTGACTGAGTTCGATTCCCTTCGCGTTTCTAGTCTTCCAGATAAGGCAGTGTGCACAATCGTCGGGGGTGTCAGCCAACAACGACCGTTATTTAAGTGTTCTCTTGTGGTGTGTTTAACGCCGGGCCTGAAAATCTTGATTTTGCTCATTTAGACAATCTACTTGATTGCCAGGTATTGTGCAAAACACTAAAACAGCCCTTTCGGACGACGACTTAAGGGGAATACTACGAAAAATCCAACCTTATATTCTTAAACAACTTTTGTAGTCTTACCTCCCAGTCGCAATACTTCTTCGGTCGACGTTCGTGTAATCACCTAAAAGTTCACCCACCGCTGAAATGTTGTGAATCCACTAGCAACACGGACGACGGTAGGTTATTCTGAAAGCATTATCACTCGCGTGTGCAAATTTTAAGGGTTGCAGTGCCCGACAATCAGTTTAATACCAATAAACACGCATGCGGAGAACGACTGAAAGGGTCGTCTGCATGCCCAGTTACCCAGACGCTAAGTAAAAGCAATTAGTTATTCGGGGAAAATTCTGAACTCTGAAAGTAAATGCCTAGAAAGCCTGGATAAAAAAAGCACTCGAGTTAGGTAGGGAGTTTTCCGAGTACGGATGAGTGACGTCGAAAAGCAACCATAGAAGAGGAAGGAAAGGTACGCAGAGTTACCGACTTGGAGTCTTCCAAATGTGTTTGATTCTGATACCACGAGTACCGTGAGAATCGATGTAAGTCCTTTCTGCAGGGCTCGGCGCTATTGAAACGCTCCATTTGCGGTGAATAAGGCTTGGGCAACTCATGGCCCTCACTACGGACATCACCCGACATGCACACACGCTCCTCATAGGGAGCTTTTTGCCGCGTGTTTGTGTTAGGCAAACCGAATTTCTCTGGTTCATCCAGTATTTGTCGACACTTCTTGGAGAGTGTTACAAACTTCTCAAACTTTTCGGGTGATATAGAACCCGGGTAGGCCAATTTTTCGCCATAAAAAAGATGGTGATAAGCAATGAGGGCCTTGACAGCGTAGATGGAGGGATACTGAAGATAGTTTGGGGTCAGATAGACTCGATTTAAGTTAACACCCCTTGTATCTGTCCGATAATGACCCAGAACAACGCCGTCCGGATTCAACATTGGGATCAGCTTGAACACGTACTGTCTTCGCAGTTCAATGGCACGTTTGTCGTGTTCACGAAGGAGGAACTCCAGAACACCGTTAAACATGTGACTTCCGGGGGTCTCTCCAGGATGGACGCGAGCCGTTATAACAAAGACCTTGATGTGGAAAACAAAAGTAAAGTAGTTAAGATAAAATCTTACAAAAAGTCGAAATTCCCATTTCAGAAGTGCTGTGAGTATCTTGATTTATGCTGCCAAATTTCTACTCGATTTCAATTCATTCAGGCTCTGTGTCATTTAGGCCAGTGGAGACAGTTAAACGCCAAATCGAGCAGTATTCGTGCAGAAAAAAGTGACTGAGTGCAAGAAGGCCAGACAGATGCATCTGTTTTCTGAATATTATAAATATTTGGTGTGCTTTATCTCTTATTCCGTTACCCAATCTGAAGCTTACACTTTCACAACGAATTACCCTTAGAAAGGGACTTAGTTTTTTCGTTAGGAAGACCCTGACTTGGAATTAAATTACTGGATTTCTTGTCGAGCTAATATAGGCTCATTTGCGGATCCCTGAAAATTTGTAAATTTAAAAACTTAAGGGAGGCAAAGGTCTATTTAAATAGTGTCTTTGATGCCAAACGCGAACCACTATGTGGAGACAGATAAAACCCCCCAGAATTGGTCATATATGTAACTTTTGGTTGAACATTAAATGGAGTTCTATCTGGGAATAGTTAGGAGCTGGAATTCATGCACATTGAGACATCCACGGAATGTTTGAACTTGGATTAGAAAAAAATTGTTACCAGCCAAAGACATTCGTTACATTCGTACATACATTTTGTGTATATTTTACTTAAATACGTGATCAAACTCGGTGGGAATTGTCAAGCGTATAGGAACGAAAAGGCGGAGTTTGTCGAAAATTTTTTCATGGAAATGAGGAAGGCCAGAGAGAACAGTAACGATGCGCTCACTCATGAAAAAGGCTACGTTTCAATTTAAATGAAAGAACACATATTGTAAGCTATAATTTTACGTTTATATTATTAACATACGATGTATAGTCACTGAAAGACAAGGGTTTTGTAAAGTCCCACCACCATTTGTAGAAATATTTTCAGACGCATCTAATGCGCAATATATTAAACGATTTGATACTTAAGTAGCGGAAGAAACCCAAAAATGAGGCGCCATCTACATGACGGAAATAAACCGAAATGTCATTAGAATATATAATTAGGGCACAGCAATACGCATAGTCCATAAATTGATTGTATTCGTTGGCAGTTCTGGCGTTGCGGGTAACCATGTCCATCTCTACTTAATTCAATAATTACCTTAGGACTATTATGTTTTTTTCATTTATACGCTATAACGGCGAAATTACAATTGTCCTATAAATCTCTTAGGCATAAGCGCGCCGTCCGTTTGCTATAAAAAACGTCTATTATTTCGCAGTATGCAATTCTGATACATTCGTGCTAAGCATTTTACCATCGTTTTTAGAAAGAATTTGGAAACCAGAGTAAATATATTTGCCGCAACTCCAAAAAAATTAAAATATAAAGTTTTCAAGTTGATAAGGTAATGCATTTCCAGAACCCGTTATTTAATAGTTTGCCATATTGGCTGGAAAGCGTTCGAATTTGAAAAGTCAGTAAACGCCAGGCCTTATGATGAATAATCGAAAACTTACGTTTACCAACCTTGGCTTCTTTAATAACTTTCACCAAGGTTTCTAGTGGGAAGTAAGATAACAAACAACAAGGCAGCTTACTCTGACATTTTTCCACAAAATACTTTATACATAAATGTTTGCAGAGCAGTGGGCTCAAAGTTATACAGATAATGGCCTTTAAGCAAATTATTATGTGCAGCTTCATACCTTTTTGTTTGCATATTTCCACGGACGAGGATTTTCGGGACGTGGAAATAGTAAGGGGTCAAATCTATCCTCTCTTTCTTTTAGCTGATTTTCGTGATCACTTATAGTGAGTAAATCAATATTTCGGCCCCCGAGGCTGTAACAGAGTATTTCACGATGAAAATAAATGCTTGTCAGCCGCATGTTCTCGGGGGATGCCTTGGATTCTGGAGAAATTTTAGCGGTGACACTGCTGGATCGTCTCCCTAGGCGTCGCGATTTCCGTGCCGCTAGCAGCTGAGTTGACAGCCTGTCAATCCGTTCCAAAAGATCCTGAGATTCCGAGTAGGACCATGGATATGCGAACGCAAAAAATGTTGTTGTATTGGGTATGTCAGAAAACTGATGAACGAAAGTCATGTTGAACTGACCATTCACAATTTCGTAGACAGGTTCTTCTTTAATTCGAGTCCACCTGAAGTGAAATCCGTATCAACATTAAGCATGGCAATGACAAAACATTTTAATTTCAAAAACAAATGTTTTAATTTAAATTTAAAAAGGATCCGACAAGAAACAATAAAACGGATCACTCAACTGATTTGAAAGCCGTCAATTTTGCATGGCGATAGTGCATTCTGGGCACTTATGGTAGCCTTTAGCTGTATTGTCCACAAATTGACTTTACAATTCATAAGCCGTGGCCTTTAATACATATGCATGCCCAGCTGTCACCAGCCTCGCCAAGCCCCTTGGGTCTAGAGGGCTTTGATAGGCTGTGAAGGCTACCAACGGCTGTGGGCTGGGCTGCGGATTGGCATGTAACTCGTAAGCCCACCCCGTTTCCGTCACCGTAAAATATTGCGCAAGGGGACGCCTCCCCATCGTCGGTTTTGGCAACCCTCTACATTATCGATTATCGCGGGCACAACACATTGTCGCGAGACGTTATTGTGTCACACTTAAATGTAACGCATCGATGCAACCAAACGTCGTACTCTAGGTGACTTTACCTTTTAACTATATGTATTGTATTCTAAATGTTATTATCGACAAAGACAAGGGCGACTTGAGTGGCCATTCCTGGCTCATTAGCCGTCGTCAACCAGTCGTCCTGCTCGGCCCCCACTACTTAACATAGTGCAATAGATACATGTTATAGAAAATTTTTTATTGCATATAACTAATGTAAAACTGTCGGATTCTTAAACAACTTTAATGTTTGGACATAAAGATTGCGGGAAAATGAACTAGAATAGTACGTTGAGATCTCAACATTTTATTGTAAATTGCATCAAAGAACACATTATTATCTTATAACTTGAAAAGCATCTAGATTTGCAAAAATAAAATTTTACGGTCACCGTAAATGTATGTGTAGTATATCAATTAATTTCCGATCGCAAATTAATGTGTACATTTATACGTAATCATCGAAACTTACACATAAACCATGGTGGAGCTTCCAACAACCTTAAAAACTGGTGCATGTCCTTGGGCGAAAAGTTTGGCTTGTCTATTCATGTTCATGACAGATACGCGAATGATACTACATGGTTTGTAACCCCGCACAGAAAAGTAGAACCATGATCTATTGCCATTCTGAAAGGGCGTGTCCTGTGCATCATAGCGAGTCCAAACTCTGACATGCATATCAGGTTTCGCCTTCAGCAAAGGTCTCCTTTCCATTCCGTACACGCCAAAAACTTTCTTGGCGCAAGATTGTCTTTCCCCGAATTTTTCTCCATTATTTCCTGAATAATCAATCAATTCTGAGACTTTCTCCACAGCACGCAGGTTTCCCGAGTCAAAGTTGGAAGAAAAAATTAGGTTGTCGATCTTTATCTCCATTGCGTTTCGTCACAATTTAAGTTAAGCTCTGAGAATGGAAATTCCGACAACCATATTGTATTTTCGTGATCAGCGAGGATTTCGAAAAAGTTCCAGCAGCCTATAACAACTGATAATAGTGCAAAGCTGGGGTTGGAAGGTCAGACTGGATGTTTCTGAAATAGGGAAGGGCATAATTTATTCAGTTGCGAGAGCAATTGTGCGCCTTTCCCGCAAAATATGGAACATCTTTCAAGAAGGCAGAGCATTAGTGTAGTGCTGAAACTCGTCGGGTTATAATATTGATTAGACTTTCCTTGATCCAATACCACGTCATCACTCTTTCTGACGCGGAGTCTCTTACCCAGCGTTGAGTTTAATGATTCTCAGTACATACTACGGACATATGATATCAAGCACTCAGCATGCACTTAATATGAGACATTTACTTTAACAAGGAATGTCTATTTTAACTCGTTACTTTGATAAATTTACCTCTAAATAATCAGGTGTACTGTACACTGGCTGCACCAGAGGTGATTTATTTTGTCCATGTGTCTGAGCTCCGGCATCGAAATCACAACGATAGCCTCAAATTAAAAAGTGGCATTTTCATTTTAAGCACAATATTAGTTTTGTCTACCCCATGGCAGTAGCATGGGCCTAACAAAGTGGTGAAAAAGACGGAAACGTGGGAATCAAGTCTACGAGAGACCAAAATTATCAAACATCCGAAAGTCATCGGAAACATCACTGGAAGGTACAAAGCTGTGAGTTAGATTAGGCGGACGTTCGGAGAGAAAATGCTAGCTTTTAATGAGGTTACTCAACGAGCTTAGATTGTAGTTTAGCATATGACTACATTGCTCGGGATGCCTTGGATTTCCTCATCCTCCCCTAGCAAATATCCACAAAAATTTGAAAAGAATAAATTGGACATTTAAGATGCCGCCACCAAGCTAACTTATGCGCTCGGACCTCGCTCTTCGCGTGTAGCCTGGTTTTCTACGATCCGTCAGCAGAATTTTCGATTTTTTAGCCTATGAATTATGTTCTACTCAAAACGCGATGCGCTCCTTAACCAAATTCACACAGCAGTAATCGGGGTCATACTGGCGCGCACGACCTACGCCAAATCCGCTTCGTTCGCTGCTAATTCGCACCACGATACGTCTTCGGCACTGTAACGTCGAGGTCTCACTTTAGGTCTGCCACTATCTAAAATCCCCAGGCGTACTACAATGGCGTATTGTCCTCACTTGCTGCTTCGCCCTTACAGTTTCATTCCACCTAAGGGGAAAATCTTTCCTACTCCTACGTATCATTCCGAGAAGTAGTTTTCTTCCTATTGAATATTTTTTTAAAAATGAGTGTTCCTTTAATTTATCCTTTAGTTTTAATTTTCGGGAGCTTTTTTAACTATTCCGTTGGAAGCCCAACAGTTTCAAAAACCTCCAATTTAGAATTTGTGAATGTTATTATCACCAAAAGTATTGATGACGGAGGTGAAAAACAAGGCCTACTTTAAATAGCATTCTTTTAAATTGCACCGCTCATGTGAGGGCTTAGGCAGATCATCACTGTCTACAATGTTTTATTTTGCCAACTGATTCAATGTTAACTATGTCTGTATAGTGCCCTCCGGGTGTGCAAAAATAACACTATTATAATTAAATATAAGGAAAAAAATGCTGCTCCACCGTTCGAGGACAAATGGAAACGGCGATATTTAAGACTCATCTGGGTTAATAGGTCAGCGCAGAGGCCTCTGGTATTGAATGCTCACAGCATTGCAGTTTC